CAAGGCACCTTTCCTCTGTCCTCCCCTCTGGCTCACCTAAACCCATTAATTAATGTGTCTAATTATTACAGCCAATGCATGTTAATTTCCTTAATTAGCAGAACTACCAATCAGCCACTAGCTGTGTAATTAAAGTGTAATTGCTCCTCACTAACAGTTAAGGAGCGATTCCTGAGGACTGTTAACTGCAGAATAATATCGCATCTGTTCAGAGTGCTGAGATGGCCACAAATGTCTTCTCTTCCGATTTTGTTGAGAGGTGTGATGAAGTAAGACGCTGGCTCGTGTTTTTTGACACCCCAGTAATTGAAAAATATTGTCAGATGTTATTATGGAATGTGAGACAGTTACACATCGGACATATTTATTGGAAAGCGTTTCGGTCCTGGGACTTTGATCACTTCTGATGAAGGTCAAAGGACCGAAACGTTTACAGATACATATACGCTCTCTCTCTCTCTCTCTCTCTCTCTCTCTCTCAAACTATGAGGAGAGGTTGGAAAAGTAAATCTGACGACTTTAAAGGACAGAAGGACAAAGGGGAACATGATTACTACGTACACTCGTACAGACTGTCTGTAGGAGTGGACAGACAGACTGTATACTCGTACAGCTTAAAATGCAGGTGAGCCACAAGGCTGAGGCAGTGGTGGAGGCACTGATTTCTAGCATAAGAGGCTAGAAGTCAGTGCCTCCACCAGTGATGCTGTTGAAAGTAATCCAGGAGGCTGGGCCAGGAGCTAGGTCTCAGATCCCCCCATCCTCGGTATTATGCAGTGTGCTATATTTAAAATATTGTACAAATTTATATAAGAAATAACGCTCCATATGTAATGTCATTTTCCGGGTATTGTACTGAAAGATGACGTGTTTTATTCCCTGAAAGCGGTCGCGTTTTATTCCTGTCAGGCAGGAGCAGATGAGGTGTGTTTAGTCAGCAGGTTACGCACAGCAGAGGAAGCAAAGATGTAGTGGTGTATGTGGTGTTGGATTAAGTTTTTTTCAGTGTATACTATAGGTGTTTTTGCCTGCTGGTAACTAATCTAAAAGACAGAAGTAAAAGGGGGGGGGGTGTCATGGAGCCTCCTTGTTTATAAATGTATATAAAATTTTGTCACTAGTAGCAGTGAGCTAATGTGAAGTGGTGTGTGGTGTTTTTTTGGAGTAGATTGTAAGTTGTATATAAGTTACTATTATTAATATAGATATATTTTTTGTATAGGTGAGTTTTTGTATCCTTCCTAACACTATATTAATTATTTGCACTCAAGCTTCCTAATTTGTATGAGTAACATGCTGGCCCAAGAGTGGCTGTGTTTTTTCAGTGTAATTTAAATGCCCCTAGACAGCAGATTGAGCAGCCATTTAGGAGCCAGGACCATTGTATTTAAGTTACGATATTAAAGTCGTAACACTCGGATACACAACTCTGTAAGTATATCTCGGCGCACGCACGCATGCGTGCGGACACACACACACACACACACACACACACACACACACACACACACACACACACACACACACACACACACACACGGCAGGTGATAATGGCTAAAGATAGTATGTACTGCTAAAACAAACATTAGTTTTTAAATAAAAATTAAGATTACAAACAATTCTAAACTATTAAGGGAGACTGTTGACAAAAAAAATTGTATTAGCTGCGAAGAATAAATGTTAAATACAAAAACAGAATCAGAGACGAGGAGCGACATGTATACGAGATAAAATGCTTAGCCTTAGTGAGTAAAATTGTTTAGTCGGGTTGGAAAAAATCACGAAACAACAAGAACCAACTAATTAAAAAATTACCCAAAAAGTGTTACAAAGAGAAAGATATTGGAAGACCGTAAGTATGCACACTTTAAAGACCTTTCAGAGGATAATAAATGGCTTCATAATTACTAATAAAAGGGGTAAATGGTCAAAGAAGCCAGAATAGAAATTTATCACATAGTAAACAGCACAGTACAGAAAACTAAATTAAAATAAATTGAAAAAGCAGTGAGAGAAATAAACACATCTGTAAATATTTCATGGCACTTGGAGCAACTGCAACGTGCCTAAAACTTCCAAATTAATATGGAACATTGTAAATCAGTTTGAAATGCAAAAAATGCATTTATGTTTCACTGATTGTGGGTATTGTTAACCTGACTTGTACTAGAGTCAATGAAGTCCTATATGCTGTAGTTTCTGACATATAAGGCGCACGAGGGTCGGCTGCTTGCTGGCACGATGTTTTCAAGCAGCAATAATTATAATAATAATAATAATAATATTTATTTCTACAACTACATGTTCAAGGTATACAGGTTTAGCTGACGTCATACTACTACATAGAAAGCCGCTTGTTATGTAGAGCATTTCGGGCAGATTGGGTCAATTTTGTCCCAGGATGCGACTCACACCAGTTGACTAACATCCAAGTACCTGTTTTACTGATGGGTGGACAAGGACAGCAGGTGTCTTAAGGAAACACGTCATAATGATTCCAACCGTACCGGGGATCGACCCCCAGACCTCAGTGTGTGAGTTGAGTGCGCTAACACTTTAACGTAACGCTACGCTACGCTACACCTTAACGTAACGTAACGTTAGTAAACAGCACTGCTAAAGCGTAACGCAGAGCCTACCCTTGATCCTAACCTTGAGCATATAAGGCGCAGTTTGATTTAATAAGACTTTTTAGGGAAAGAAGTGCGCCTTATATGCCGGAAAATACAGTACCTAAAATACAAGAGACAGTGTGTAACAGTAAGAAGGGCGAGTATAACCACTGGAGTCCCACAAGGATTATCATTGAGACTGCTAATATTGGTAATATATGTAAATATCCTCCCATAAGAGAGCGAACTGTGTGTGAGAAACTTGATGTCCATTGAAATAAGACTGGAACAAAGGATAGTCAGGTTCCGGAGAGAACTGAACAAAATACAATAATGTTCTATGAAGTGATTCTTTCCACCCCATTTTCCTTGCACCCCTCTCCTACACTTCTTCCTTCATCTTATCTTTCCCAACTCTCTTCCATTAATTCCAACTTTTCCTATTTACTTTCCTTCCATCTTTCCCTATTTTCTTTACACTTCCACCTATTTTCTTTATTCCAACCTTCTCCTCTCATTCATCACTCTTTCCGCTTCCTTCTCCATCACCTTTCTCTCTCTCCCTTCGTCCTTCCCCTTTCTACTTTTGTAGTCCCTCTCAACTTCCAAGCTTTACTCTTCTCTGCTTCCTTCACCATCATCATCTGCTCCTCGTCTGAACCAAGTTCTTGCAAAAGTTGTTAAGAGGCTCTTCCAACCTCGTAATTCCTTCCAGGAGCTGGACTCTTCCCTACCCAATCCTACATCTGCTTTAACCTTCTCTCCATACACCTGTAGCCACACCTGTTCCTACTAGACCCTTCTGCCTTTTTCATTAACCCCTTACCCCCGTATCTGCAATTACACATGCGCCTGTTTCTCTGATGAGGAGAAGGTACATGTGCAGTGTGATATTGGGTACGATTTTTTTATCCTATTTTAAAATTTTGTCACCATTACCTTAAAATTCCACTGAGTTCAGAGGTACATAAACAGATGTGTGTATGGGTTGCCTGTAAAACACACACACACACACACACACACACACACACACACACACACACACACACACACACACACACACACACACACACACACACACACACACATGAATAAGATGAAAGCAACAGAGCAATAGTAGATGACACACTAGCTGAGGTTGCTAGAAGGGCTCACATGAGCAGGGCAAAACAACTGATCACAGGGGACTTCAACCATAAGGCCGTGTTCCATGCTGGAGGTAGTAATGGAGAACTTCGTGCACCAATATGTTAGGGATACAGCTAGCGAGAGAGAGAAAGGATGAACCAGTAAGGTTGAACCTTGTATATACCCTGAGTGGTTCTGACATAGGGGATATTACATATGAATTGCTCCCCGGCACTAGCAATAACACGGTCCTGAGTTTCAAATACTTTGTGGAATTAACAGTTCACAATTGAAGCAGCAAGGGAAAGAAGCCAGACTTGAAAAGAAGGGACTACACGGGCATGGGGCAATTACTGGATGAGGTGCAGCGGGAAAGAGAACTAGAGGGAAAGACAGTAAATGAAATGGAATATGTGGCTAGAAAGTGCAGGGAGGCGGAGTTCATTCCCAGGAGCAACAGAAACACTGGGAAGACCAGAGTGAATTCATGGTTTGCCCAAAGATGTAGAGAGGCCAAAGCCAAATGTTCTAGAACATGGAAAGAGTACAGAAGGCAAAGAACTCAGGAAAACAAGGAGCCGCGCTGAGGAACCAGAAGTGAGTGTATGAATTAGAAGAGAGGCTCAAGGGCATCGAAAGCCAAATCTGTCCCAAAGTTATATAGCAACATCAGTCAGGGACCAGGTAAGGAGCAGCACCTTCAAGGAATGACCTGGAAGAGGAGACAGTAAAGCTACCAGCTAACCAAAGCCATAGTGCACCAGCAAGAATTGGACACAATGCTCAAAATTTCGTCGTTAAAAAAGAAATTTCCAGCAGAATATTTTTATTTCTGCTACAGAATGGTTATTCATCCAGTGAGACCCATATGTACGATTTTTTAAGTACTCTTATTCAATCTTTGAAGAAAAAATGTTAATATAATTCTTAATAAGCTCAATTTTTCCCAATAACCTCGACAAAAAACATGTGTTTAGCTAACAATAATTCTATGAAACTTATCTGGTGGATCTGGTAATACTAGGAAGGTTAATATCTTGATAGTTTACCCTGAGGGGGTGCGCCAGCCGTTGTTTTATGTTGATGGTAATGAAATAAATGCCTCCCTCACTGTGTTCAAGGTGCAGTGACAGGGCAGCAGACTTTCATGTAAAAGCTACTATAAAGCATCGATAAAGTAAAATATACATATATATCCCTGTACATCCACTCATAATTTTGCTGCATTATTAATAAAACAAATTCTTCGTCCTCGCACAGGCTGCTGGGGGGTTGGTGTTGGCCCTGAGCATCTGGTTGGCTGTAGACAACACGTCCTTCCTGCTGCTGACGAGGGTGTCAGACAATGAGAGCCTGCAACATTTCAACCAGCCCTCCGTCATGGAGCACGGGGCCTACGTTCTCATCGTGGCTGGCGGCTTGGTCTTCCTTATCGGCTTCCTTGGCTGTTGTGGAGCAGCGATGGAGTCTAGGGCGCTGCTGACCATGGTGAGAACACAACACTCTTACGTTCACAGTATATTATGGGTGAAAATATGATTCAAACTTCACAATTAACAAAGAAATTAAAGAAGCCGGACGACTTTTCGGTCCTTCCTGAACCATTATCAAATCGCAATCTGATAACAGTTCAGCACGAGCCGAAACCTCTAACAGTTTCATCAACAGTTTATTGTTGCTTTGTTCCATCCATACTATTGTGACATTCTTCAATTAGATTTTGTCTTATAAAAAAAACGAAAGTATATCGTAGGTTGTATGTTTGTGAGAAACAGCAATATTAAATTGATAAATACCTTGACACGTTCTAAATCAATTAAAAAATGTATAAAAACAGGATACTGAGTACGAAATCAAATGAATGCAAGAGAAGACAATATTTACAATAAATGTTAATGAGGGCTTTTCTAGGGATTGCCTGTAATGAATTATACAAAGTTGTGTGTGCGAAATTTAAACTGTAGGTGGAAAGTAGCGTTGCATTGTTTCTCCAATACACATGTCTTCCCGTCCACGCTGATCTCCCCGTCCAACCTTATCTCCCCTATCACCCTTGTCTTCCCACACCACACATCCCCTCATATCCCTCATCCTCATCCCTCACCACCATCATTACCCCCTCACCCTTGTCTTCCCGGTGCTGAACAGTGAGTGACACAATTTAACCTTCCCACAGTACGGTCTGATGATCATCATTATCTTCATCTTGGAGGTGACAGGAGGAGCTCTCGCTGCTGTCTACAAGGCTGAGGTAAGCGACTTAGTTCAAGTTTAAATCATTTTGACAGCAACTGCCTCGGCCATGTGGTCACTCTAGGGGCTCCTGTCTGGAAGGTCTGGATGACAGATACTCGTACTCCGACCTAGACAATAGCGAGCCACTATATTTAAAAGAAATCAACTGTATTTGAGTCATTAAAGCTACAGTTAGAAGAATAAAAGACTTGGGCAGCACCTGGGTATCTTAATTGTAGAAGTGTGCAACCGGTAGTTTTTATCAATCCAATACAGAGAAAAAACACTGGAACATGCGAAAAGGGAGTGAGAGGTAATGAGTCCCTCAACCTAAAGATGAAGTGTTCAGTCTGTCAACCTTTTCACATCTTACCCAGTTTTTCTGTGTACTGGACTGATAAAGCCAATGTCTAGCGAAACATTTCCATAATACATATACCCTGGTTTCACACAAGTGTCTTATTTATCTACCTGTCGGTTTCCTAAACCATTTGTATAATAAGGCTACAATTCACCTGTAAACTATCATTTACAAATAGTCTGAATGCTAACGTAGAGAGTAAGGTAAACTCCAGGTATGTACTCGGAGAGATACACTTTGGCTGCCTCAGCCCTTGATAATGAGCCTGAATACGCGGCTTGGCCTGGTATCAGGCTCTACACAACTGACCAATACAGTGACGAAATGATTGCCCAGGATGGGACTGTTAAGTTTACCTGCTACTCGAATTCTATCTACATCACTGAACAAATGATTCAGCTCGTCAAAAAACCTATTTTTGTCGTTTATATTTGTTTAAGCAATTTCTCAAGTTACCTGTGTGTCAGTATCATTGATACTGTGGTGTCAGTCTCATTGATACTGTGGTGTCAGTGTCATTGATACTGTGGTGTCAGTATCATTGATACTGTGGTGTCAGTGACATTGATACTGTGGTGTCAGTCTCATTGATGCTGTGGTGTCAGTGACATTGATACTGTGGTGTCAGTCTCATTGATGCTGTGGTGTCAGTGACATTGATACTGTGGTGTCAGTCTCATTGATGCTGTGGTGTCAGTCTCATTGATACTGTGGTGTCAGTGTCATTGATGTTGTGGTGTCAGTCTCATTGATGCTGTGGTGTCAGTCTCATTGATACTGTGGTGTCAGTCTCATTGATGCTGTGGTGTCAGTGTCATTGATGTTGTGGTGTCAGTCTCATTGATACTGTGGTGTCAGTGTCATTGATCTTGTGGTGTCAGTCTCATTGATGCTGTGGTGTCAGTGTCATTGATGTTGTGGTGTCAGTCTCATTGATACTGTGGTGTCAGTGACATTGATACTGTGGTGTCAGTCTCATTGATGCTGTAGTATCAGTCTCATTGATGCTGTGGTGTCAGTCTCATTGATACTGTGGTGTCAGTCTCATTGATACTGTGGTGTCAGTCTCATTGATGCTGTGGTGTCAGTCTCATTGATGCTGTGGTGTCAGCCTCATTGATGCTGTGGTGTCAGCCTCATTGATGCTGTGGTGTCAGTCTCATTGATGCTGTGGTATCAGCCTCATTGATGCTGTGGTGTCAGTCTCATTGATACTGTGGTGTCAGTCTCATTGATGCTGTGGTGTCAGTCTCATTGATACTGTGGTGTCAGTCTCATTGATGCTGTGGTGTCAGTCTCATTGATGCTGTGGTGTCAGCCTCATTGATGCTGTGGTGTCAGTCTCATTGATGCTGTGGTATCAGCCTCATTGATGCTGTGGTGTCAGTCTCATTGATACTGTGGTGTCAGCCTCATTGATACTGTGGTGTCAGTCTCATTGATGCTGTGGTGTCAGCCTCATTGATGCTGTGGTGTCAGTCTCATTGATACTGTGGTGTCAGCCTCATTGATACTGTGGTGTCAGTCTCATTGATACTGAAGTGTCAGTCTCATTGATGCTGTGGTGTCAGTCTCATTGATGCTGTGGTGTCAGTCTCATTGATACTGTGGTGTCAGTCTCATTAATGCTGTGGTGTCAGTCTCATTGATACTGTGGTGTCAGTCTCATTGATGCTGTGGTGTCAGTCTCATTGATACTGAGGTGTCAGTCTCATTGATGCTGTGGTGTCAGTCTCATTGATGCTGTGGTGTCAGTCTCATTGATACTGTGGTGTCAGTCTCATTGATACTGTGGTGTCAGTCTCATTGATACTGTGGTGTCAGTCTCATTGATACTGTGGTGTCAGTCTCATTGATACTGTGGTGTCAGTCTCATTGATACTGTGGTGTCAGTCTCATTGATGCTGTGGTGTCAGTCTCATTGATACTGTGGTGTCAGTCTCATTGATGCTGTGGTGTCAGTCTCATTGATACTGAGGTGTCAGTCTCATTGATGCTGTGGTGTCAGTCTCATTGATGCTGTGGTGTCAGTCTCATTGATACTGTGGTGTCAGTCTCATTGATACTGTGGTGTCAGTCTCATTGATACTGTGGTGTCAGTCTCATTGATACTGTGGTGTCAATCTCTTCATTCACGTAAAATTAATTCTATTCTCCATGTTGTGGTTTCTTATATCCTCTGGAACTGACTTATTAAATTATATCTCAAAGGTGATAGGATAGTTTAGGGCCTTTCCTACCTCCTCTCTCCTACCTCCTACCTCTTCTCTCCTACCTCCTCTCTCCTACCTCCTACCTCTTCTCTCCTACCTCTTCTCTCCTCTCTGCTACCTCCTACCTCCTCTCTTTAACCTCTTCTCTCCTATCTTCTCTCTGTAACATTCTCTCTTCACCCTCCCTCTTCACTTTCCTCTTCACCCTCCTCTCAACACAGTGTTTGAAAGCAATACTTGCTCTTAATAAAAGTCTTCGCTCTAGAGCAAATCATCGCGTGCCTATACAAGTTTTATCTGTACATTTATGTCCTGCATCGCAGCGAGCAGCATGTCCCTTATAAGTTTAACGCTTAGTTATAATAATAATAATAATAATAATAATAATAAATGGCACTGCATGTGCACTAAATTTCGTTAAATATCAGGAATTATGGAGGCGACCAGAGTAGCTCTCAGTGTGATCTACATGACTGAGGTGGGGCTAAATCAAGCTCTTGTCCCCCTACATCTCTCTGCTAAGACTGTTATCCAGGGCCGCAGGACATTGCTAAAGAAAAATAATTTAATTATAATTATAATTACAATATTTATTGTGAATATTATTATTCCACTTGCTGTCCCTTCCTTCCTCCCTGTTCTTCCTGTCCCTCCTTCCCTGTTCTTACTGTCCTTAATTCCCTGTTCTTCCTGTCCCTTCCTCCCTGTTCTTCCTGTCCTTAATTCCCTGTTCTTCTTGTCCCCTCGTTCCCTGTTCTTCCTGTCCTTAATTCTCTGTTCTTCCTGTCCCTCCCTCTCTGTCCTTCCCTCCTTGATCTATCCAGTCCAGGACTATTTAATATCTCTGTTTTAATATCGTCTGACTTACAACTGAAGGTTCCCGGGTTCAACCCTCGAACCCGTGGAGTGAAAGTCAAGTTTTCTGACACTTCCGTTGCCTCTCCCACCCAGCAGCATTATAACCTTAATTTTTAAAGGGGTGGACCGGTAAGCCAGCAGAAGGCCTCGGCCAGATGACCAAAAGCTCCAATGGCGGGTCATCGTATGACTAAGCCCCGCCTCAGGAAACACTTTCTCTGTTTCCTGATGAATCTTACCTACGTACGTACCTACCTACCAACCTACCCTCCTTACCTACGTCCCTACCTACCTATGTACATGTATGATGTCGGACTGTTGCGGGTTGCATCCTGGGGACGGGACCAGCTCGAAGTACTCAGGTTTAAGGTAAAAGGTGCTTGCTGATCGAAGTTGATCTTATGAGAGTAATCACAAAATCCATCCCCCTTCCGTTTTTCTTACCCGCCATCCTCTCTGCACACCACACTGGGACCCATCCCTAGCCCAGCCCTGTCCTCTTCCTTCTTCCCTTCCTCCTTCCCTTGTCCCCTTTCCCTGCTTCCTTTCACTGTACTCCTTTTTCCCAATACAAATCCTTGCCCTATTGTCCCGCCTCATGTTCCTCTTCCTTCAGCAGCAGACATTCTGTATGTTTCTTGAAAAAGGATTTACAAGCAAGACACTCCTGTTTTCTGCTTGCCAATTGTGGGAGCTCGCAACACGAGAGAGAGAGAATGTGTACTCAGATATATGTGGTTGCAGGAGTCTGAGTCTCAGCTCTTGGTATTGCCTCACAACCAGCCACTACTGGGTTCACTCTCTTCATGAGTCCTCTCATACTTTTTCTTAAAGCTTTTTATAGATTCTGTCTCTAGCACTTTTCTGTTCAGGTTGTTCCATTTCCAGACCTTTTCTGAGGCTGAAGAAATATTTCCAAATATTCTTGTGACTCGCCTGTGTTTTTAATTTCCAACTGTGCCCTCGTGTACCTGTTTTTCTCCACTAGCATAGCCTGTGCCTATTAGTTCCTCTCATTATTTTATACTTTGTTATCGTGTCTCTCAAGACGTTCTGTCTTCTAATGTCTTCAGGTTTAGCTCCTTTAGTTTCTCCTCATAGGTTATACTCCATACTTCTGGAACTCACTCTCCAAGTAAGCTCCTTCACTTTTTCCAGTTTCTTAACATGCTTGATCAGATGTTGGTTCCATACTGCTGCTGCTGCATACTCCAAGCTGGGCCTGACAAAAAGTCTTGTATAGTGTCGTGAATGACTCTTGAGGGGTTCCGCAAGCTAATCTTAGATCTGCCAGACGTATATTTGCCTAAGAGGTTATCAAGTTGTGGTCGCCTCAGGTGATATGCTCGGTAGTATACTCTCTCCGAGGTGCTTCTCTTTAAGATTTACAGCCTTTGTTCCGAGGCTGTATTCCGTTTGGGGTCTTCTTTGCCCGTCCTTTATTTTCACAACCTTGCGTTTACATTTGCTAAGGTTAAACCAGTAACTCCTTGTCAGACCAATACCACAGATTGTCCAGGTCCGTTTGCAACCTTTCCATGTCTTCTGTTTACGTACACCAGCAATAGTGCAGCTGCCAGTACTGATCCTTGTGAAACAACACTTGTCACATTTGCACAATTTGACAAGTCTTCTAGACAATCACTCATCGTTTCCATCTTAATGTTTCTTTAGCTACTGTAATGGCTTCCCTGTATATACTGCCTTCTCCTCTAGCTCTTGTCCCAGTCTCTCGTGCATCACTGTGTCAAAAGTTTTCTTACAATCCAGGAATGTGCAGCCTACTTATCCTTTTCTTGTACCTCTTTTGTTACCTTGTCACTGGACGCCAGCTGGGTTTGTGAGACAAGATTTACCGTGTCTAAATCCGTGTTGGATGTGTGTGTACTCGCCTATAGCTCCTGGCCCCGCCTCTTCATTGATTACTACTAGGTCCTCTCCCTGCTCCATGAGCTTTATCAAACCTCGTCTTAAAACTATGTATGGTTCCTGCCTCCACTGCAGTATTTTGTATATCGTTATCATGTCTTCCCTAACCCGTGTGTGTGTGTTAGTTACCATTTTGTCCTAGGCACATGTCAATTAGACACTAGGCCTGTTGTATATGCGTGTGCGTGTGTGTGTGTGTGTGTGTGTGTGTGTGTGTGTGTGTGTGTGAGTGTGAATGTGATGTGAGTGTGATGTGTGTGTGTGTGTGTGTGTGTGTGTGTGTGTGTGTGTGTGTGTGTGTGTGTGTGTGTGATGTGAGAGTGTATGTGTGATGTGAGTGTGTGTGATGTGAGAGAGTGTGTGTGTACTCACCTATTTGTGGTTGCAGGGGTCGAGTCACAGCTCCTGGCCCTGCCTCTTCGCTGATTGCTACTAGGTCCTCTCTCTCCCTGCCCCATGAGCTCTATCATACCTCGCCTTAAAACTATGTATGGTTCCTGCCTCCACTACATCCCTTTCTAGGCTATTCCATGGCCTGACTACTCTATGACTGAAGAAATACTTCCTAACATCCCTTTGATTCATCTGAGTCTTCAACTTCCAATTGTGACCTCTTGTGTCTGTGTCCCATCTCTGGAACATCCCGTCTTTGTCCACCTTGTCTATTCCGCGCAGTATTTTATATGTCGTTATCATGTCTCCCCTGACCCTCCTGTCCTCCAGTGTCGTCAGGCCGTGTGTGTGTGTGTGTGTGTGTGTGTGTGTGTGTGTGTGTGTGTGTGTGTGTGTGTGTGTGTGTGTCTGTGTGTGTGTCTGTCTGTCTGTCTGTCTGTCTGTCTGTCTTTGTCAGTACCGAAAACAGACCCTAAACTTTCCTCGTAGTGTGGTACACCCGACCTTACTATACATACAGAAGGGTCTTTGTCTCCTGCTCCTGACACAACACACATTTATATGCATGGCATACACACTGCCAATGTGAATACTCCCTTCCCCTCCTCCCCCACACACGAAATACATGCACACACAAAATATACATAGGCACACAAAATACAAGGACCAATAAAAACAGGGAAAGAGGACATCGCAAATTATAGCTTAGTAAAAGAGAAACTCAAAGTATGATAGACAAATAAAGGCAGAATGTCAAATAATACTGGTGACTAAACGACTATGTAGGAAAGGCAACCCCCATATTTCATTTCCATGAGATAAAATTTAGAGAGATATCATATGCAATATTCCATAGAGGATACTGAGTACTGAGGAGAGAAGAAACAATAACAGAGTATAGGAGGAGATGGATAAACATGTGGAAGCACAAAACAAAATAAACACGTTAGCAGAGATTTACAACTACTGCAGACCTAATTCAAATGCAGCCTTTTTATACATATGCTTGATAAAATGTGAGTATTTTGTATGTAGGTTTCATGTTTCTCTTGATCCTCGTCTCTTCTAGTGTTGTTAGGGCAAGTTTTATCTCTCCTCTTGTAGTCCTTCTCATTCATCTCGGGTACCAGTCTCAGTGTCAGTCTTTGAATGTAGCAGTGTGTGTGTGTGTGTGTGTGTGTGTGTGTGTGTGTGTGTGTGTGTGTGTGTGTGTGTGTGTGTGTGTGTGTGTGTGTGTTTCAGTTTTCATCGGAGGAAACCAATAACGTTTTCTATTATGGGGTCAATGATTTTAACTGACATAAAATTTTGTATTGTCAGATATATTGTGGTAGAAGACCAAGCTTCCCATTCTTGAACTTCCTTATATACATATTATTTTTATAGTTATCCCTATCATTATTATTAATATTGCTATTATTAACATTAGTATTCTCTTGCACCAGGCCAAAGAGGAGCTACAGAACTTCCTGAAGCACACACTTAAGAGGTACTACTCCACCCAGGACCAGGCTAACTCCGTCACCGTCGCCTGGAACGCACTCATGGCTGAGGTAACACCACCTCTTCTTTACAACTGCCACTACCTTACTATCCCACTACCTCTATTTCACATCTCTATCCCACCACCCTCTTTTACCTGGAGTATACCTGGAGGGTGTTCAGGGGGTCAACGCCCCCGCGGCCCAGTCCTTGACCAGGCCTCTTGTTAACTCACTATCTTATCCCACCACTTCTTATACCCCACTCTCTCTCCAATCCTCTCATTCATCTTTTCCCGTTATCTCTCTTATCCTACCATCCCTTATATCCCGCTCTCTCTCCTATCTCTCCACTCGCCTTATCCCGCTGTTTCTTCCATCCCACCATCTAGCTCAACCAATCACTTATCCAGTCTCACTAGTTGTTTAGGTGTCCATCTTGCCATTAATATGTTTTATACACTCCTATCCATCCATCCACCCACCCATATGCTGTCAACTTGTCCATTTATCCATTCATCCATCAGACATCCTATCCATCCATCTCTTACTGGTGCATTTCTATCCAGTTATAAAGCTAAAAGTCTGACAAAACTTACCCACTTTGAGAAAATCAAATTGCATCATGTTATGCTGTTATCCTAGTGGGTTCTCGGTATATTTTTCTTCCCGTACTCCGCTTGTTTACTTCTTCATAGTTATTTTAATCTGTTATCTGTGTAACTTTCTCGCCCACTTCCCTTTTTACCTCCTTTTTTATCTTTCCTTCCCTTTTTTTATTCCTTTTTTTTTGATCTCGTTTTCACTTTCTTCTCCGTCTCCTGTGAAAGAGAGTAACAGGATGTAAAAGCTCTGTGTAGAGCTTAATGAAGTCTCTGTAGAGCGTAATCAAGTTACCCAAAAGCTCTACCCAACAACAGTCAGCTTACTGCTGACTCTTGTCAGCAGTAAGCTATTTTAATCCACCTGTTCCTCCTATTCCTTCTTCTTGCATCAACATTCACCAGAATTAATATTCCCAAACAACAGCGTCTTACGTTAAACTATCGACAGTAATATCAACAATAGGTAAATGGCCACTTAAGACAACGTTTCGCCCGTCAGGGACATTGCCAAGTCAGTGTATACATTACATTGTGTATATAATGTATGTATTGGTTTGGCACAACCTCTGGTGGGCAAAACGTTGTTACTTAAATGTGTCTCAGCGGTATTATTAACTGAATTTGATCAGTCAAGAGTGTTTCGCTCAACATTAAACACAACCTCTCGACCATGTAAAAAAATATTTGAAAACTTTTCCGCACCAAAGGTAACTTACTTTCTTCAAAAATTCATTACACAAGTTAAGTTATGCAGTTAGTCAAGGGATAAAATATTATTCCTAAATTTATACGGCTTGTCGGCATACGGCTGTGCATTTCTCGAAAACTTTTTAAACACAAAGCCGGCCTTTTAATACAGGGTTTACAGTAAGCGGAATGTATATAAACAAAGCCGCACAAGTTATACTATAGTATAACATGTGCAGTATATATATATATATATATATATATATATATATATATATATATATATATATATATATATATATATATATATATATATATATATATATATATATATATTGTGTGTGTGTGTGTGTGTGTGTGTATCGTTCCGAATAGGTAAAATTTGCGATTTTGGCTTAAAAAACAACGCTCTTCTTCCCGAATAAGGCAAGCGAAAATGTGTTTGCAAAAATTTCGCAAAAATCATTCTGAACCTAACGAAAAAAAAATTCATTGTGTTTGTTTATTATTAAATTATTGTAAAATTATCTAAAATATATTTAGTTGGATTAGGCTAAATTAAATTACGTTTGTTATAATATGGTTAGGTAACTTTTCTAAGGTTCTTTTGGTACAAAATTATTACTTTTTACATTAACATAAATAAAAACAAATATATATATATATATATATATATATATATATATATATATATATATATATATATATATATATATTATATATATATATGAGGTGGTTCGGACATGTAGAGAGAATGGAGCGAAACAGAGTGACTTCAAGAGTGTATCAGTCTGTAGTGGAAGGAATGCGGGGTAGGGGTCGGCCTAGGAAAGGTTGGAGGGAGGGGGTAAAGGAGGTAAAGGAGACAAATGGTTTTTAATACTTGACGTGCTGTTGGAGTGTGAGCAAAGTAACATTTATGAAGGGGTTCAGGGAAACCGGCAGGCCGGACTTGAGTCCTGGAGATGGGAAGTACAGTGCCTGCACTCTGAAGGAGGGGTGTTAATGTTGCAGTTTAAAAACTGTAGTGTAAAGCACCCTTCTGGCAAGACAGTGATGGAGTGAATGATGGTGAAAGTTTTTCTTTTTCGGGCCACCCTGCCTTGGTGGGAATCGGCCAGTGTGATATATATATATATATATATATATATATATATATATATATATATATATATATATATATATATATATATATATATATATTAGTAAAAAAAAAAATATGAAAAGATGGGGTGGTAGGGGAAGTGGAATATTCAAACGGCTTCAGGAAGAAATCCAAATATTTTTCCTTGAAGCCTTTTTATCCACTTCTCCGAGGCTATGGGTCCCACAATTTACACCAGAGGTGGACCCCATCCTATTTAAAGGTATACGAGAAAAATTTAGAAAGGACTTAATTTTAAATGAGTTCTTGTTAATTGACCAGTTTTACCTATTAGGCACGACATATATGTACATATCGGGAGGTAGCATCTCTGGAAGTGACTGGGGACCCACAGCCCTAGAAAAGGGAATAAACATACTTCAGAAAAAAAAGAGAGGTATTTTCCCAACTGGTTTTCAAAATATCTTTAAAATATTTCGTTTTATTTAAATTTGTAAATGGAATGCAAATACGTCGTTCAGTGGATAACCACTTGAGGTTAACACATGTTCACTTTTCTTCAAGAAATTAAGAATACTAAATTTTGACTTAGCTGTGAAAAATAACCTTTGACATCGTACGAAGAACGAAACCAATTTTTTGATGGTGCTGTGAGCGTGTCACCGATACTGATGAACCTACCTGCTACCCTTCCTGTCCACCTCTTGATCAACCTACCTGTTGACTCATCTACTTGTCTACCCACCTCATCGATGCCTCCAACTATCCGTTCCGTCACGCACCTAGAGACCCACCTGAGGAATTACTGCAACAAACTTACCTCATTATCGGAACTTGACATACCGTGTTACAACCCACGGTCACATAAATGATAGACGGGTTTGAACGTTGCCTGGGTTTGCCCGGACACTGTGCTGTCCAACATTCTGTGGCTATTTCTTGTTTAGGTTTGTTCTTACCCCAGGTGGACGCGAGAGTGAAAAATCTTTCGATGATTTTTTGTCTCATTATCGTTCTTATTCAGGTACGTTCACTCTCCTATTTATATTCCTACCACTATTTACTTTTTCTCTTTCTTACTTATTCCGTTCCTTCCTTCGGCCGTTGTTACTCCCATATATTTTTTGTATTCTCGATATCATCCCTGAGTCTGCCTCCCCCTTTCCTATCTCCCTCACCTCCTCTCTCGCCCTTTTTCCCCCTCACCTACTTTTCTCACTTCCTTCTCACCTTTTTTTCCCCCCCACCTGCCCCCCCCCCCCTACCCCTCTTCACCCGCTCCCCCCCCACCTACCCTCTTCACCTGTCTCCCCCTCACCAACCCCCTCTCTCACCTGTCTCCCCCTCCACCTACCTCTCCTCACCTTCTCCCGTTTGCCTACCTCTCTCTCACCTGTCCCCGTTTGCCCCACCTCTCTCTCACCTGTCTCCCGTTTGCCTACCTCTCCTCCCTGTCTCCCGTTTGCCTACCTCTCTCCACCCGTTCCCCCTCCCTACCTCTCACCTTTCTCCCGTTCACCTCTCTCACCTGTCTTCCCCTCACCTACCTCTTTCTCACCTGTCACCCGTTCGCCTACCTCTCTCTCACCTGTCTCCCGTTCACCTACCTCTTTTCTCACCTGTCTCCCGTTCGCCTTTACCTCTCTCTCGCTGTCTCCCGTTCGCCTACCTCTCTCTCGCCTGTCTCCCTCACCTACCTCTCTCTCACCTGTCTCCCCTCACCTCTCTCTCACCTGTCCCCCCCCTCACCTACCTCTCTCTCACCTGTCTCCCGTTCGCCTACCTCTCTCACCTGTCTCCCCCTCACCTACCTCTCTCTCACCTGTCTCCCCTCACCTACCTCTCTCTCACCTGTTTCCCGTTCACCTACCTCTCGCATGTCTCCCGTTCACCTACCTCTCTCTCACCTGTCTCCCGTTCACCTACCTCTCTCTCGCCTGTCTCCCGTTCACCTACCTCTCTCTGACCTTTCTCCCGTTCACCTACCTCTCTCTCACCTGTCTCCCGCTCACCTACCTCTTTCTCACCTGTCACCCGTTCGCCTACCTCTCTCTCACCTGTCTCCCGTTCACCTACCTCTCTCTCACCGTCTCCCTTTTCGCCTACCTCTCCTCGCCTGTCTCCCGTTCGCCTACCTCTCTCTCTGCCTGTCTCCCCCTCACCTACCTCTCTCTCACCTTCTCCCCTCACCTCTCTCTCACCTGTCCTCCCCCTCACCTACCTCTCTCTCACCTGTCTCCCGTTCGCCTACCTCTCTCTCACCTGTCTCCCCCTCACCTACCTCTCTCCACCTGTCTCCGTTCACCTACCCCCTCCCTGTCTCCCCTCACCTACCTCTCTCACCTGTCTCCCGCCACCTACCTCTTTCTCACCTGTTCCCGTTCGCCTACCTCTCTCTCGCCTGTCTCCCGTTCGCCTACCTCTCTTTTCGCCTGTCTCCCCCCCACCTCCCTCTCTCTCACCTGTCTCCCCCTCACCTTCTCTCACCTGTCTCCCCCTCACCTACCTCTCTCTCACCTGTCTCCCGTCGCCTACCTCTCTCTCACCTGTCTCCCCCTCACCTACCTCTCTCTCACCTTCTCCCCTCACCTACCTCTTTCACTGTTTCCCGTTCACCTACCTCTCGCCTGTCTCCCGTTCACCTACCTCTCTCTCACCTGTCTCCCGTTCACCTACCTCTCTCTCGCCTGTCTCCCGTTCACCTACCTTTCTCTGACCTTTCTCCCGTTCACCTACCTCTCTCTCACCTGTCTCCCGTTCACCTACCTCTCTCTCACCTGTCTCCCGTTCACCTACCTCTCTCTCACCTGTCTCCCCCTCACCTACCACCCCTCGCCTACACCTCGTATACCTCACTATAACGGGCAGTAAAAACCTCTCCCCTCGCAATAATCTTGCACAAACTGGGACACACAAATTCATGTGGACAATAAAGGTGAATACAATACCGAGTGTTCTCGTGTTGGTGAACTGAGAGTGATCGTCATCCAGCTTTATTTATGTATGCTGGAGAGAAGTAAACGTAAATCGGCTTTGTGTGTGGAGAGAAGTGAACGTAAATCGGTTTATTTGTGTATGGAGAAAAGTGAACATAAACCCTTTACATATGTGTATGGAGGAGACAATTGAACGGGATAGCCTAGCAAGTGAGGTAGTGAAGGCAGGAACCATACATAGCTTTAAGATGAGGTATGATAAAGCTCATGGAGAAGGGACAGAGAGGACCTAGTAGCACTCAGTGAAGACGCGGGGCCAGGAGCTGAGTCTCGACCCCTGCAACCACAATCAGGTGAGTACAATTAGGTGATTACACACAATCATTATATATATATATATATATATATTATATATATATATATATATTTTATATTTTATATATATATATATATATATATGATCATTTATGTTATTATATTCTTAGAAGAGCGTTAAACTCGTATGGATCATTCAGCACCTGACCAATGGGAGGCAGTGAGATTTGAGACGAAAGGAAGGATATCTCCACTACTTTTTCTTTCTCTCTTTGTCCCGTCTCTGTCCCCCTCGCCTATATATACTGGATCCGTAACTCTTTGTGTAAAGAGATTCTCCTAATAATTATAATTATAACTAGGATTTTTAAAGAGGTGGACTGGTAAGCCAACGGAAGTCCTCGGTCAGATGACCAATGCTCCAGCTGTGGGTCATCATATGACTAAGACCCGCGTCAGGAAACACTTGTCCTGTTTCCTGACAAACATTATACCTACCATCTTTTGTGTTAGTGTGTAAATGGTCCAAGTCGTAAGCTTCTCTCTCCTACGTGCGGGTTAATTGTGTATTACGAACACTTCGCCGGTACCCTTTTTAAAAGGTACATCTTAGTTACATAGTGGGAACCAAAGCTAGCCATGTTTTCCTGTCATTTTCCATAGCATAGGATGGTGTTCGTACATCAGGTAATAGTCTGTTAGCCTCAGCTGAGAGACTTCAGTGAGGCGATGAGGATACCGTCCAGCATTTTACACTTGGTTCAATAGATAAAGCAGCTTCAAAGGTTTCGTTCCAGCAGAGCCGAAGTTAGTTTTCGAGACTACGGTGCTCTTCACCAACTCCAAGGCTAAAGGACTGAATACCTCGTCTTTTGCATATAGTTCTAGTCTTCCCATTATGTCCTTGAATTTAAAATGATAAAGCCACTGGATGGCAAAACATCTACAGATAAAGATACCCAGCTGTTGCACTGGGGGATTACCATCTCTCAAGATGGTCTGTCCCACAGATATGGAAAATGGAACTTATTAAGATACCGACACACAGAGCGAGCCAAGAAAGCTAAAATAATTTCTTATACTTATAAATACACATGTATGCACTGTGTAAATTTATTGTTGCCATAAGTAGCGTGGAAAGACTAAACCAACATAACTCACTGGGAAGAGTGAGGGAGGATAAGGAGGGAGTTAAAAGGTGAGAAGTGGTAAGGGAGGAAAAGTCACTGTGAGGAGGGGGGAAGAAGCGATATTATTTTAAATATAATTGTGTGTATCTGCAGTGTGCGGTTTACTTATTCTAGATAATCGTTACACTATAAGAACAAGAGGATTCAGAATGTTACCTGAAGTGTGATGTCCACACACTTCTCACGAGGCAGTTATTGAGGGAATGATGGTAAATGTGCTTCCTTCTTTGGATCAACCTACCTTGGTGAGACTCGTCCGATGTGGCAATTAAAGAAAATAGTAATTACATTGAGGGACCAGAAGATAGTGATATTGTTATAGTCTATCACACAGGAGGGTTTCAGTGAGGCCTCAAGCATAACACTAAAGGTTCAGTAGCTTATAGGACAGATTTCCATAAATGACTGATGTTGCAAGAAATCTCGCCTGCATGCAAGTATAAAGGACTAACTTGGTGTTGGAGAATGTATCCTGGTCTTCAACCTCCCTAAGCTTTAGCCCCTCTGGACTTCCCCTCAGAACCACGTGCAACCGGGAGCCTTAATTCCTGCAATATTCAGTTGGTATTAGTGATCTGCCTGCACCTCAGAAATTCCTGTTTCCAAGGGGGTGTGTATCCCCTAGTGTAACTATGCAGAAAGTGACACTAGCTTCTAAGCTTAACAACAAGGAGACGCCGGAATGTACCTATCATAGGCCGTCCGACTGCAAAAAGACCCACAGTTCAGCTCACTCGCAAATTCCCCCCAGAAACTGGCCAGAATACTGAGAAAGAAAGGGAGGTTTTGCCTTACTGTATGGGCCTGACAGAGGAAGTCATCTACGGTACTTCGAGGTGCCTCCACCAGATTTCCCCAGGTCTAGTATATGAAGACACGTGGGGGCACCGCCTGCTGTTCACGGCACTTGTTGATCCGATGGTGTCTGGTCTTAGAAGAAAGCACTGCGGTCTCAAAACCCCGGTCTCAAAACCCCGTGCCCCGGCATTCAAACCTGGGCTGCCAGTTCTCCCTGGCTAATATAACCTAGTGTTTGCCTACATTACCGGCCTATTACTACCTACGTTAAGGTCTTAGGTCTATATTATCATTATCTACAATTGCCTCAATAGTCCTAATATTAGTTCACTAACAGTATAAACTACCTACCTCTTCCTCGAAGGATAAATCTATCAATTAAATGTACCTTACAACCATCTTCGCCAACCCGAGTGTGTGCGCGTGTTTTGGGTGGGTGTAAGGGCCACTCAACCCAGCTGTTCCATCCTTGACGTGTTGGGATCTTCGTACAACATATCTGCCCTGTGGAACTTTAGGACCGAATAAATTTCCACATGGTGTAAAGATTTTGTTGGTGGCGCTAGGTGAATCAAGGATGAGAAAAGCATCAGGAAGAAGGTAAAGACTAGTAAGACAGAGGAAGGTTGCTTATGTTGAAAAGGGAAGAAGTGTGTAGCTTCCACACAGGAGTTGATACACAGCCAAGGTCGAGAAAGCGGCTCCCTGGGCTGATACCCGCCCTGGCTTTACATGATCCCATGGTCGTCTGAAGCCCAGATTGAGCACTTTTGAAAGAAACTTGTACTAATCATATTCATACCTGTGACTTGTTTTGTGTATTCGTCTACCCTCGTAGCTTGACCTCAGATATGGTATCGTTGCTGACTGCATGGTCAACCAAGTTGCCGCTGCTAGCGACTCGCAACCTCACATAACCATCACAACCATTTTGACCAGGTAATTGTCGGAGATATCAACCCAGTTTTCTTTTGAAAATTTCTATCTTCAAGCCAAAGCTAAAATAAATGAGATGTATTTCGGTCAGTGTGTGATCCATCCAAGAAAGGTATCCTTGTATTGCACAACCTCAGCCCACTACACCTCACGGTACGCAAATGAAATAGCAGAACACAACAGCGCAACACAAGTTTTCAGTGCAGCTATAAATTACTGTTTAAAATATGAAGCAAATCAAAACAGCCATTCGCAAATCTTCACATGGAAACTTAATTTTTTTTTAGTAAAACTGGCAGATTAGGTCATACATAGCCCAAACCAATTCAGACCTTCCACTGAGAAAGATCAGCTCTGAAGCCAAACTTAAGAGGCATTCTCCTGTCATCTCAGAGTGACCAATATCCTAAAATATACCACCACATTAAGGGGCACATCATTTCCCCTGTCTTTTAATATGTTATTTTTTTCCCCTATAATCTACCTTATCCATAATTACTATCACATTTGCTTTGTCTGTTTCATAAGGTGAAGTCCAGGATCTTTCCTTAATTCATGGTATAACTTAACAAATCTTTGAGGACAGTAATGTTGTAGAGGTCTGAGTTTTGCTCATACCTCTACCTATTGCCATCAGCTACTACTTCCTCTTCCTCCAGGTTTTAATGGTCACCTACAGCTTCGCTAAACGCGAGACCAATTAGTGATTAGCAGACAGTGGATTGAGCCTCTACCACTCCTTGCATTGAGTGTCTATCACCGATTTAGCACTTCATTAATACATGTATCTCCAATCTCCATCTATCTTATCTCTGGCCACTTCATTACCACCGACTATGATGACTGAACAGTTTTTCAGTGGGAATTTCTTAATACTGAAGGGCTCTTAATTTGAGAAATTCGAGCTACCTTTCAATTCTTCGGATCAAACCTGATTAACCCCATTACTCATGTGCTGTATAACCTTTATGGGTTTAGGCTTCTCCAAGAATATAACATAATACTAATCTTCTCCACAGCTCAAGTGTTGCGGGGTAAACAACTACACGGACTTCCAGCAAGCGATCATGTGGCAGGCGAACAAGTCGAGTGAGACGTTGGTGCCGAGAGCTTGTTGTGTTCTCGAGGGTGACCCCATCAAGTTCCGTCCACTCGACCCCAACTGCCCCTCCAGCCCTGATCAGGACAACTCCTACTACCTCACAGTCAGTGTTACTTCATGTGTTGAGGATTGGGAGAGGGTCGTGCATGGTCGTTGCTGTGGGACAGAGGGGAAATTAATAATGTTTTTCTGGTTGGGTTTAAAGTGGGCTCTTATTAGTGGTATCCAAGGAGTTCTGTCTCTCTCCCCTTAAGTTGGTTATACAGTATTCAAAGGGAAATGGCACAAATCACACACCTTTGTTAGTCTATCATGATAAAGATCATTTTAAATATCGTGTGGGTTACAGTTCTTAGTGTTTAGAGTTAGGGGAATCCTCCAATTAATGACCACCCATATTTCCAGTCACTTTTCTCTTTCACAGATGTATTGAAAATTGTTCAGTAATTTTTCATTTGATATGCCGCAGCTCCAATAGGCGGCCAGAAACCAAGGTATTGACTGAAAAAATATAGCTTTGCTTTAGTACTAGAAATTAAACAGTTCTCTGGCAAGGTGATCTCAGTATTGCATATTAGCCATAGATACACATTTTTGCATAGTCACTCATAAATATTACTCCATTTGACTGAGAATTTCTCCACCACCTTAGCTGTCTTAGCTCTAATCCATCCATGTAGATTAATAAACTTTTCAGAAGTAAATGTCGAATTTGATGACATGAAAGATGAATTCCTAACAAGGAAAACTAGTGGGTAGATCATATGTTTTGTGGTCACTTGATGGAGGATCAAGCCGTCATCTTTCTTTACCCTGAAGGACCCCCACAGATTTAGCGCTTTACAGTAATATAACACATGGAAAATGAAAAATTGTCTCTCTTCTAGACATCCAGCATATTCAGATAACATCAATGCACACCAGACACAGGGAGGGAAGATGCATTATTGTACATGCATTTGACCGTTTCACAACACTGGCTCGACAAAATATAAGGGAGTTCTTTATGAAATTCTGCGGTGCTTCCGTCCGCCTTCTGTGGCATTTCTACTTGATTGATATTATTATTATTATAATCAAGGGGGAAGCGCTAAACCCGGAGGATTATACAGCGCCTGGGGGGGGATGTGGAAGGCATTCAGGCTTAATTCGGGGAACTGGAGCACAGATCCAATTCCCTAAATCAAGAGCCCCTCACCAACATCAAGGAACCTTCCTTGAGGGGACTTGATTGATAAAATATTTGGTCAGGTAAGGTACTTCCTCCCAGTTAGTTACAGTCTGTATTTTTTTATTATTTCTAAGCCAGGACTTCTACGAGGCAGCGAGATATTCCCCAAATTCGTTGAAGAGTTGGGTATGTACAATTGCAAGAAAGGCATTGAACGGCAATATTTTTGTCGTGCAGTTTCAGTTTCGTAAGTATCTGCCAGAATGGACTATTTAGTACTGCTCACTGGTATTCATAGGCTTTCTATTAATAGAAAGTCTATGCCATAAGAAAGTAGAAGGTATAACAGTACTGACAATACAGATGAGAGGACACAAGTACATACACTCAGTACATCTTAATTGGATATGGTTCCAGTCAGTGTCTTATATGCAGTATGGTGTCAGACTTCTTGCAGTTCAGAAGCATCAAGTGCTCCTACCTGTCTTTTCCCTGGCGTAAGGTTATATTAAGTCACGAGGAAGGACTTGCTGTTAATGATTCCATACCAGTGTTTCTCGATGAAGTTTATTCTCTGAATGCATTCCACCTCTCTCAAGATTATTATCTCCCTAACCTTGTTTTGAATGCCTTTCAGTATTACTGTTTTGTAGCAGGAGGCCTTTTGTCTGTCACTTTTCTTGAATATTGGAACTTTGATAGCTATGACACAAGTATCTGGCAGTTCACTTTTCAGTACGCTTTAGATGAAGCTCTAGGGCCTAGAGCTTAAAACAGCTTAAACAGCTTGCCTAGAGTCTAGGCAAGCTGTTTAAGTGTTCTTCTGGAAATAGAAAAGTATCTCCTGATAGATCCTTCTTTAAATAACCCATTTATTGGTTAAGTAATCATTATCTTGTGCTTAGAAACAGTAGTTAAGGAACTGCTGGCTTAAAACTGATATATATCTGTTGTTGCTAAGTATCAGTTGACTTTTTGGAGATAACTTTTCCACCCTATTTTGAATATATGTCTGGGAGGGATAGTCGATGGGAGGTTAGGAGATTTCAATGAGCTCCTAGGGGGGTTGATGGGGCCCGGGTGGAGGGATGAATAGGGGGATAGGATTCTGGGTATTTAAAGGTGGATGGATAGCATTCGGGAGACGGGGAAGATGTTAGGTAAAACGATACAAGTGCAACTAAGGTGACATCTTATTGTGGCAATGTTTCACTCTCTAGGAGCTCAATAAAGCTCCTTTTACCTAACATATTGTCGGTAATTCTACCAACTACAATACAAGATGATTAGGGTTTGGGGGGAGGATAGGGCTCAGAGGTGGATGGATAGGGTTCAAGGGTTGGATGGTTAGGGTTAAAGGAACTCCATTGCTGTGTATTTAGAAATAAGTTATTGCCCCTTAACCTTACGAGTTTATGTAACTTTGTTCACTTATTAAGTCCGAAATAGACATAAATTCCAGGAATAACAGTTGTATATTATTTTGGATTATATTAATTTATCAATAAAATGAATGATTGTAAAGTCTTCCCAACATGTGTAAATTCAAATACCAATTCAAAGTCGTCAAAAGAAAATAAAAAAAAAATGTGGGCGTAGGCTGCCAGAGACCTTCCTGAAGAAAATGGTTTTTTTTTTTTTTGCTACCATTGAGTTACTAGTTTTTTGTGTTCAGTCTTCTACACAAATAAGACTGTCATTTTTATTTTTAAATATTGGTGATTTTTTGTTTTAATCCCTAGATTATATTTAAATCATATATGTTATTTACAAATTGGTGAACACTGGTAAAATAAGTAATCAAAGACTACAGGTAATAGAATAATGATATTCGTGAAACAATTTTCATGTGCAGTGTTTCAGGAAAGAAAAAATAGGAGTATGTCCATAATTTTTAATTACATAAGTCAGGATAAAAACTATATTGTGACTGTGACTGTAATAGTATTTTTTATAATATGTTTAAGGTTTTAGAAATAAGAGAGAAATGTACATACTAGTAACCAAAAAAATATTCTCCATCTCAACGTTTTCAAGATTATTAATTTCATGAATGATTTGTAACACTAACATGAAACTTACTTCCTATATTTTTTCAGGATTTTTTATGCATTAGTGAGATCTGTACTCTAATAATGTAGACATTCCCCAAGTCTAATGCTATGTATGGTGATTGGTTGGTGTTACAGGGGTGTCTGAGCAGGTTACAGGAGAGCACCTTCTACTACTTGACCCCCATGTTGTCTGTGGCCATCTGTCTGGGCACACTACAGCTAATCCTCATCACACTCTCGTTTTACATGTGTAGGGCCATTAGCAAGGCTCTCAAGTAAGGGCGATTGCCTCGATCCGCATGATCTTACCCGCTCGCCTGTATGCTTGACACAGTTTTCTAAAGGATTCTCAAGTGGCAAATGCATGGAAATTATATTAAACCCGTTGTGCTTCCTTTAAGTCTACCTGGAATTTTTTGAAGACATCCAAATGTTTGCACATTACTGCATGAGAATAAAATTGGTTTTAAGACTGAGGGCTAATCTAATGTGATTTCCATTTCTGCATTTTGTCACTAAAGCTCCTTTCATCAAGTATTTGTTGACCCCAAATCCTATCCTGCCGTCTCCCTTCCCCACACTGAAAGCCTGTTATAGGCATAAAGCATTTCAGCTTGCTAGTGTCCTCACAGATAATGACTGTCCAATGCCAGACTATCTGTTTAAAAAACAGCTTGTTCCCTGCTCGAAATTAATGTTATGAGGTAGAGGGTCACTGCATTGCAACGGAAGAAAAACACGAAGTTCATCACTAGGTCTTGCATGTCTCGACCACAAGAACATTTATCTTTGTCGTGTGGCACGAAAGTTGACAGTGCAAGAGAGAGAGAGACGAAAGTAAATTAATAAACAGATAGCCAGCGCATATGCATGCGCTGTGTAGTAGTTACTAGTTGTCAAAGGCACTTGTTGCTAGACACTTGGCCTATTGTTTATGGTGATTGAATGAGTGCTTGCATGGCCACGTGCGTGAAGAATGAAGAGAGGAAATTTGGAAATGAGGGATAAAGGAAGGGAGGGAGGGAGGTGGAAGAGAAGAAAGAAAACAGGACATAGTGAGAATCATAAAGATCTGATGCTGTCTGAGGATTGCCTGAATTTTATTTAATATCGTGTATTGACCACAACACCATGCTGCGAGTGTAGGCGGAAATATTCAGGAGGCTCATAACGGGTCCAGGAACTGGACTCTGACCATTTTCTAAGAAAGTTAGTGATAACAAAGTGCTTAAATAGGCCAAGGATCCGACGGGAACTAAGACACCCAGAAGAACCAAGAGTGAAGCTGAAGCTATCAGAAGCATGAGTTGGAGAAGCTTTTTCGTGCACTTGCACGGAGTTGGTTTTTAGCATGAGATGTGGAGACAACTAGAGCATATATGCATGTTTTT